ACAAAGATATTCCGCAAGAAGAGCAACCCCAAGGCACATAATCGTCAGATTCAACAGGGTTGAAATAAAGGAGAGAATACTAAGGGCAGCCAGAGAGAAAGGTCGGGTCACCCACAAAGGGAAGCCCATCAGACTCACAGCAGATCTCTCGGCAGAAACACTACAAGTCAGAAGAGAGTGGGGGCCAATATTCAACATTCTTAAAGAAAAGAACTTTCAACCCAGAATTTCATATCCAGCCAAACTGAGCTTCAGAAGTGAAGGAAGAATAAAATCCTTTGCGAACAAGCAAGTACTCAGAGATTTTGTCACCACCAGGCCTGCTTTACAAGAGCTCCTAAAAGAGGCACTACACATAGAAAGGATCAATCAGTACCAGCCATTCCAAAATCACACTGAATGCTAAAGAGCTTCAACATAATGAAGAACCTACAACAACTAACAGGCAAAACAGCCACTTAGAATCAAAATGGCAGTATCAAATTCACACATAACAATATTAACCCTAAATGTAAATGGACTAAATGCACCAATCAAAAGACACAGACTGGCAAATTGGATAAAAATCCAAAACCCATCAGTGTGCTGTATCCAGGAAACCCATCTCACATGCAAGGATACACAAAGGCTCAAAATAAAGGGATGGAGGAAGATTTACCAAGCTAATGGAAAGCAAAAAAAAGCAGGAGTTGCAATTCTCATCTCTGATAAAATAGACTTTAAAGCAACAAAGAGCAAAAGAGACAAAGAAGGCCATTATATAATGGTATAAGGATCAATACAACAAGAAGAGCTAACGATCCTAAACATATATGGACCCAACACAGAAGCACCCAGATATATAAGGCAAGTTCTTAATGACTTACAGAAGGACTTAGACTCCCACACAATAATAGTGGGAGACTTTAACACTCCACTGTCAATACTAGACAGATCAACCAGACAGAAAATCAACAAGGATACCCAGGGCTTGAACTCAGACCTGGAGCAAGCAAACCTGGTGGACATTTACAGAACTCTCCACCCCAAATCCACAGAATATACATTCTTCTCAGCACCACATCACACCTACTCTAAAATTGACCACATAATTGGAAGTAAAGCACTGCTCAACAAATGCAAAACAACTGAAATCATAACAAAGAGCCTCTCAGACCATAGTGCAATCAAGTTAGAACTCAGAATTCAGAAACCGACCCAGAACCGCACAGCTTCATGGAAACTAAACAACTGGCTCTTGAATGTTGACTGGGTAAACAACGAAATGAAGGCAGAAATAAAGAAGTTCTTCGAAACCAATGAGAATGAAGACACAACGTGCCAGAACCTCTGGGACACATTTAAAGCAGTCTCTAGAGGAAAGTATATAGCAATAAGTGCCCATATGAGGAGAATGGAGAGATCCAAAATTGACACCCTATCGTCAAAATTGAAAGAGCTAGAGGAGCAAGATCAAAAAAACTCAAAACCCAGCAGAAGACAAGAAATTACTAAGATCAGAGCTGAGCTGAAGGAGATTGAGACACCAAAAACCCTTCAAAAAATCAATAAATCCAAGAGCTGGTTTTTTGAAAAGATCAACAAAATAGACAGACCACTAGCCAGATTGATTAAAAATAAAAGAGAGAACAACCAAATAGATGCAATAAAAAATGATAAAGGGGAAATCACCACAGATTCCACAGAAATTCAAACCATCATCAGAGAATATTACAAACTACTCTATGCACATAAACTAGTAAACCTGGAAGAAATGGATAAATTCCTGGACTCCTCTGTCCTCCCAAGCCTAAACCAGGAGGAAGCTAAAACTATGAATAGACCAATAACAAGGTCTGAAGTTGAGGCAGCAATTAAGAGCCTACCTCACAAAAAAAGCCCAGGTCCAGATGGGTTCACAGCCGAATTCTACCAGACACACAAGGAGGAGCTGGTACCATTCCTTCTAAAACTATTTCAAACAATCCAAAAAGAGGGAATCCTTCCCAAATCATTTTATGAGACCAACATCATCCTGATACCAAAACCCGGCAGAGACCCAACGAGAAAAGAAAACTTCAGGCCGATATCCATGATGAACATAGATGCAAAAATCTTCAATAAAATATTGGCAAGCCGATTGCAACAGCAAATCAAAAAACTTATTCATCATGATCAAGTAGGATTCATCCCAGGGATGCAAGGCTGGTTCAACATACGCAAGTCTATCAACGTAATTCACCACATAAACAGAACCAAAAACAAAAACCACATGATTATCTCAATTGACGCTGAGAAGGCATTTGACAAAATTCAACAGCCCTTTATGCTAAAAACCCTCAATAAACTTGGTATCGATGGAACGTATCTCAAAGTAATAAAAGCTACTTATGACAAACCAACAGCCAATATCATACTGAATGGGCAAAAACTGGAAGCATTCCCTTTGAAATCTGGTACTAGACAAGGATGCCCTCTCTCACCACTCCTATTCAATATAGTACTGGAAGTTCTAGCCAGAGCAATCAGGCAAGAAAAAGAAATAAAGGGTATTCAAATAGGAAAGGTGGAAGCCAAATTGTCTCTATTTGCAGACGACATGATTGTATACCTAGAAGACCCCATCGCCTCAGCCCAAAAACTCCTGAAACTGATAAACAACTTCAGCAAAGTCTCAGGATATAAAATCAATGTGCAAAAATCACAAGCATTCGTCTACACCAATAACAGACTTAAAGAAAGCCAAATCAAGAGCGAACTGCCATTCGCAATTGCTACAAAAAGAATAAAATACCTTGGAATACAACTCACAAGGAACATAAGGGACCTCTTCAAGGAGAACTACAAACCACTGCTCAACCAAATCAGAGAGGACACAAACAGATGGAGAAACATTCCCTGTTCATGGTTAGGAAGAATTAATATCGTGAAAATGGCTATACTGCCCAAAGTAATTTACAGAATCAACGCTATCCCCATCAAGCTACCATTGACTTTCTTCACAGAACTGGAAAAAACCACCATGAACTTCATATGGAACCAAAAGAGAGCCCGCATAGCCAAGTCAATTCTAAGCAAAAAGAACACAGCGGGGGGCATCACACTACCGGATTTCAAACTATACTACAAGGCTACAGTAATCAAAACAGCATGGTACTGGTACCAAAACAGAGATATAGACCAATGGAACAAAACAGAGGCACCGGAGGCAACACAACATACATACAACTATACAATCTTTGATAAACCTGACAAAAACAAGCAATGGGGCAAGGATTCCATGTTTAACAAATGGTGTTGGGAAAACTGGCTAGCCATGTGCAAAAAGCAGAAACTGGACCCCTTCCTGACCCCTTACACTAAAATTAACTCCAGATGGATTAAAGACTTAAACATAAGACCTGGCACCATAAAAACCCTAGAAGGAAATCTAGGCAAAACTATCCAGGAAATAGGAGTAGGCAAGGACTTCATGAACAAAACACCAAGAGCATTGGCAACAAAAGCCAAAATAGACAAATGGGACCTAATGAAACTCCACAGCTTCTGCACGGCAAAAGAAACAGTCACTAGAGTGGATCAGCAACCAACAGAATGGGAAAAAATTTTCGCAGTCTACCCATCTGACAAAGGGCTGATATCCAGAATTTACAAACAACTCAAGCAGATTTACAGGAAAAAAACAAACAAGCCCATTCAAAAGTGGGCAAAGGATATGAACAGATACTTTACGAAAGAAGACATATATGAGGCCAACAATCATATGAAAAAATGCTCATCGTCACTGGTCATCAGAGAGATGCAAATCAAAACCACATTGAGATACCATCTCACGCCAGTTAGAATGGCGATCATTAAAAAATCTGGAGACAACAGATGCTGGAGAGGATGTGGAGAAAAAGGAACACTTTTACACTGTTGGTGGGAGTGTAAATTAGTTCAACCATTGTGGAAGACAGTGTGGCGATTCCTCAAGGCCTTAGAAATAGAAATTCCATTCGACCCAGCAATCCCATTACTGGGTATATATCCAAAAGACTATAAATCATTCTACTATAAGGACACATGTACACGAATGTTCATTGCAGCACTGTTTACAATAGCAAAGACCTGGAATCAACCGAAATGCCCATTGATAATAGACTGGATTGGAAAAATGTGGCACATATACACCATGGAATATTATGCAGCAATCAGAAATGATGAGTTCGTGTCGTTTGTAGGGACATGGATGAATCTGGAAAACATCATCCTCAGCAAACTGACACAAGAACAGAAAATGAAACACCGCATATTCTCACTCATAGGTGGGTGATGAAAAATGAGAACACATGGACACAGAAAGGGGAGTACTAAACACTGGGGTCTATTGGGGGGGAAAGGGGAGGGCCAGTGGGAGGGGGAGGTGGGGAGGGATAGCCTGGGGAGAAATGCCAAATGTGGGTGAAGGGGAGAAGAAAAGCAAAGCCCACTGCCATGTGTGTACCTACGCAACTGTCTTGCATGCTCTGCTCATGTACCCCAAAACCTATAATCCAATAAAAAATTAAAAAAATAAAATAAAATAAAATAATACAACTTTATTTATTTTTATTTTTATTTTTGTTGTTGTTGCAGAAAGGTGATTTTATTTAGGCAGACAAAGAGAAGGAAAGGAGAAGAAGAGAAAGGCTTCCACGAAGAGTATGGAAGTGGATTCCAGAGGGGAAATCCCGGAGGTGGCTCCCACCATATGGAAATAATACCATTTTAAACACTTAAGATTAGTATTACAAATACTTATTTTTAAGTTTTCTCTTTAACATTAAAGAAACAAATAAATTTAGTAATTACATAAACAGACTGAAATGAGACCATTTAGAAACTATACTATATCTAATTTTATAGGGGTGATAATCATTCTCTTATATTCCTTTCTAATTTGTCTTTATTCACATTTTATAACAGCTGAAACCAGAGGTTAAGTTGCTAAACAATTATCTGAAACGAGATAGTTCCTCAGGGGAGAATATATAGTTTACCTGATTTGTTAGACACCCAAATAATTGCTTCTGAAGACACATGGCTTCTATTTCCTACCACAATAGTTAATGGAATCTGCCACAGGTAACTGCAAAATAAAAGAGAAGCTTTAAGAATAAAAATAACTATATCAAAACAAAAACTAAAAACATTTCCCATGTGCCTTCTTTGTGATTTTTATTACTCTCATTAGGTGAACTAAAAAAATTCCAGTCATAAAAGTAAGGCGTAAGTCAGAAAGATGAAGTCACTCTTTCAATGACATTAAGAAGACTTGGCCTCTAAGAATTTAATTTCAGTGCAAAGAGAACTGCCAACAAAACCATTTATCTTGGAAAATAAAGATTTGCATTTTGCATTTGAAATAAAAAGTAACTAATATCTATACATCTGGGGCATATTGATTAAAGTCTAAATATAACTCCTTTCTACTTGTTTTTATGCTAGAGTAAGACACATTTCAGTGGCTTCATGCATTTACATTTTAATAGTCTCCTTATTTATTATCTAATGACTCTGTGGGACTCTATTAAGGTACTTTACAGAAAAGTTCATATGGTATATCTAAAGTTGCTCAGAGGAAAAGAGAAAAACAAAACTAAACTAATCAGATTCCCCTACAATCCAGATAAGCAGAAAGAATATTGTGGGACACACTTAATGCTCTGTTTTGTGAAATGGCATTTCTAACTTAATTTGTCAAAGCATCCACCAACAGGCAGGGACCAATGATGAATCTCAGCTACTAAAGAGAAGCATTTTGTAACATTTACCTTTTTATGGGATTAAAAATTGAGGCCTATACTTATACATGAAGTAATGTCAGTTTAGTCTCAGATGAATGGCCAGAGATATGCTGGATGATTTTACAATAAGTCCAATGATTATGTTCCTTTTCTTTCTTGAAATATAGCCAGATTATTTCAGGCTATCATTTCACCATTATCAATAGGGTAGCCAAAAATTCCAGTATGGAAAAAAATTTTTTTCTATTTTAGAAATGTAAGAAGAGACATTGTGCGACCTCAATAGCTGTGAGAATAAATGAAGAATTGAAAAATGTTCAGGAAACATGCATGAGGGTAATAAACATTATAATGAATATGTCTTCTTGGGGAGTAAGAGAGGAAGACATCTCCTATGAATCTGTAATGTGGAATTTGACTGTTCTATTATTTCATGTTTTGCATTCACAATAAACAGAACTCAGCAATAGTAAAGAGCCCAATGGAAAGTTGGAAGAAATTCATAATTTTATACTTTTATCTCCAGTATGGAAAGTCAAAATAATATGTTTACCATTCTTAAGTTTAAAACTCTATGCTATACTTAGTGAAAAAATATTTTGGAGTGCCAACTATGTGGAGATACTATGCTATACTAATATGGACTCCATACAATCCCTCAGGTAATAAAACAGTTCATAGTAGCAAACTCTATATTGACTCTTCAGACAGTAGTTCATGAACAACAACCCGTGTAAACTGTTTAACAAATACTCCCAAGATTCCAACATAGGATTAAGAATATGCCCCAGATATTTAATGACAGATTTGCTGTGAGGAGGAGACCAAAAAACTGATATATTTCATTAACAACTCTTCTCTAAAAATAACGGATCTCTTTTGGTTAATTAGAATAGGTAAGAAACAACAATGTCCAATTCTGGGACTGCTTCTCAAATTAAATGATAAGTTCGTTTCTGTGTACCTAGATCTTGAAAAATCCTGAAAATAGGAGGCATTTCTATTCTAAATCATAAATTACTATTGAATTTGATTGAATGAACTTGGAAAAAAATGAAATAAAAGGCATCAAACCCATCTATAGGTAAGACAGATTAACTTAATAAACTTGACTTTGGTACATATCGTCCATATTGAGTTGGGTCAGCTAAAATGTGAAGCCAGGTAAGTACTTGTCAAAAGGCGAAGAATATAAAAAATTGAGGACATTTACAAATTCTCAAGGATAAATTTGTCTTTTTTGTAGCATGACCATAAAATGTTTGTGAATCATTGTATGCCCCTAATATAAATAAACATAATTTCTATGTATTTATATTATTTATTCTAAACAACTAGAGATTATGATAAAAATTGGTTTGTTTCAACAGTTGAGTTTTAGAAAAAAATCTCTAAAATACAGGAAAACGATTCACATAAATACTGGCATGTCAATACCACACACAAACAGCAAGGTCCAAAATGTCAGACATTGTATCGCAACAGCTGTTCTGATGCAAGTTAACTATATGGCTTGGGGATACAAACTTTGAGGCATTTTGTAAAACTTAAAAAAAAATTCTATTTTTCCAAAAATATTTTTGTTCCCTAGTCTATGTGTGTATGTGTGTATGCACACGCACTACCAAAATCTACATGTAGTCACAAAGACAAAAGTTCCAAGTTACCAAGCATATTTGAAATTTGTATTTTCTGAACTACTGTGCTGTCAATACATTTCATAACTTTTCAAACAATGTGTATGTCAACTTTTCATAAATTTTATTCTAAAATCAAAGAAAGCCTGATAATTATGTTGATTTGTGATTATAACTTACAAGACTAGAAGACCCTAAACAGAGTTGAGTGAAAAGCCCTGTGTGTTGTAAAGAAATCTGAGACTCCAATGGATTATGCTTAAAAATATATTAGAAAAAATAACAGGAAATTAGATTGTGTTCCAGCTGTTTCAGTTTAACTTGAATTTTCATCATCTTATTTTAAGCATAAAAAAGACTCCCCAAGATACTTTTTTCTTTAACAGTACCTGGGACTACCTCTCTTCATCAGTCATTTTCATTGTTATAATAAAACAACTTTTATTCTAATGGTTATATTAAGGTAGCAGAGAAGAGGTGTATATAAACTTGAATGAGACATCTTTTTATAAAATAGCATCAATATTAATGAAGCATTTGTGCAGACTTTGTGAAAACCATTCAGATGTCACTGTCATCAGGGCATTAAGAGAAGGAAAATATGACTGTGGCAGTAAGTATAATTTTCTGCAGCAAAGAACGCCGAGAAGCTCCTCAGTGTAAAGGGAGACATTACTTAACATTGCAATGCATTAACTTTATAAAGAAAAAGGCTACACAAATTCACAACTTCCCAAGTACCAAAATTCTAGAATATACTTTATTCTCTGTTACACATCAACTAACTTAATGTGACTATTTAGTTATGTAAAGATCTTGCCTTTCTATGCTGTAATACAACTATTACATAGAAAAATATAATTACTAGATTTACTTAAAATATTCTAGGCATATTGCTGTGATGTTCCAATATTTCTTAGAAAAATAAAAAAAAAACAAATAATTGATTTTCCTGGCTCAGAAAATGCATTCAATTAACAGAATTTCTGGAATAGATAGACAGTTGGTTTTACTGCATCAGCTGTTTTCATTGTGAAATAAAGATCTAGGAAGGCTATATACATAGGCCACATAGAGTTGTATTGAAGCTTTGATCAGAATGTTATAGTTAATTAAATGATCAATACTATAAAATTGCGATAATACAGTTTCAGCTACAAGCTCTATAATTGCAAAATAAATAGAAAATCATTTTTGAGACTAATAGGATATCCTGCATTATCTTACTCTTAATATTTCATATGCCAAGTTCTCAGAGTTCAAACTCATTCATATGATTTTATAACTCCAGAAGACAAAGTGACAAAGCTGTCTAGATGTTACATATGCTTATACAGCCTGGGAGAAATTCTTCCTTTAAAGAGTCAGACTCCTGGCTGGTACATCCAATGTATGTTATAGGTTGACAGAATATTTTTGTCCAAAATTTGTTCTGTCATCTGCATGTCCTTTATGTTTTTCTGCATCAGTGAGGCTTGTGTTAGACTGATCATTCTCAAAGGCCTGGCCTGAATCTCTCTAACTTTGCCACAGTCAAGTAGTTTTTATGTACTTCCTGGCAAGGCCAGAGTTGATGCCTACGCTGTGCTTGTTTTGCCTGAGGCCAAACATTAGAGGATTAGAAACAACACTTGGCAGATGTGGGGAATCCAGGCTGGGGGAAGAAACATTGACAGAGTCAGTCCCTAACAGTGGTGACAGTGTGGCAGGGTACTAGCACATCCCATGAGTCCACACAGTTGGACTGCAAAGGGTAGTGTGTTGAAGGTAAATATAGACTGGGTATGGTGAGGGAGATGTAAGACACTGCCTCCCTGAATTGGATTCCAAATGTAGTCACCAGAAACATTCATGAATTTCTCAGTCACCTTGACTGAGTGATTGGCCGGTCTTGGAGCTAGCCTACTGGGGAACTATTTCCATTCTTCTTAGCAATGACAAAGCAAACTTAATGTCCGTTCCAGATCTCCTAGATACTGGTGGGTGATAAAGTCATACCCCTAATTTTCCAGGGTAATGGGAGACAGCATTAGTAACCTACTCTAAACATCTCATTGTGTTTATCAATTTTAACTCCTCTCCCTCTTCCTGTACCTCCCACCCCCTACCCCCAATCCCAGTCCTCATGGGACCCAAAATCTTACTAGGGCATCTTAAATGAAATGAAATAGACTGATTTAAGTACTACTATCATTCCTTGGCTTAGCCTTTAATGAGACACAAAATAGTCAGAAAACATAAAGTAGAAAAGAAACAAAAATGCTACATGCTGAGTTATCAGTAATTAAATAAGTGTTTCAGCAGAAAGTTAAAGAAACAACAAATAAAGATTCTATATATGCTGTCTGTTTATTGGTTTTAAACAGTAGAAATGAGAATAAGAGAACATATGTTGATACTAAGTGGCATGTATCATTAGATCATTTTAAAGTATTGTTTTAAATTCCTTTAACTCAGTCATTATTTAATTTGATTTTTGTTTTAATTAGTTTTTCTGCATTATTAGTTTCTGTTCTCACTTGCTTTATGAATCTCACAGTTTGCTCAATTCCTTTTAATTCACAGAAACACATTTTAACTTTCTTGCATTTAATTCAAAAAACATTCATGGGGAAAAGTGAAAAATAACATTTTATTCCTTTTAACCACCATGATTATTTAAAATTCTGTCCTCCTAAACAAATAACTTTGATGTTTTTCAGCCTGAAGTTTCAGATATCTAGGAAACGGAAGTAAACGAAGAATCAAAATGAAAATAACGTGTAAATAAAGAAACAAGAACTATATTTCACTTACAACATTTCAGAATTGTATTACTGATGCTCTCTGAAACATTCAAACTGCAAAGTGAAATGTAAGAATAAAAACAATTATTTTTCATGTAAAAAAGAATGTTGTACCTGTTATTTTGAAGTTTAAGTGCTTTAGTTTTAGCACTGACATCATAGATAAAATGTTGTTGGGTAATTATTATTCTATTTCCCGCTGTTGTGTTTCCCAGGATGGTGATAACAGGATAACCCTTCTGGAGTGTCCACTGATCCATTACTTCTTGTATATTTACATATTTCCCATTTCTTTTTAAAGCCTTTACAAGGAAAAATGTATAAATTAGTTTTATAAATGTGAATTATCAATATCATTAACATTAAGGCATTTTTATCTCTATCTTTACTATTTATCTACATATGAAAATATTTAAAGTCAGTGAAGACAATATAATGCATTAGTGGAATTAATCGTCTTGCCCCAAGCTAAGCTTCATACATGTACATAAAAATAACAGATATATTAACATTAAATTTTTTATAAAACATAAAAATATAAAATATATGTTATTGTTAAAGCAAGAAATTGAAGCATTAGTAAGTATTCCCAGCATGTCTTGTGTCATGTTTAAATATTTGACATATAGAAAAAAATATTTAAAACAACTATTTTCTAACATGAATATCTTATACCATATAAAAATTATATTTCAGAAGGATTGTCATGTTTGAAAGTAGGCAAGATATCTGATAATACCATTTATAGTTTAGTTTAAACTCCATTATTTTACAATACATTATATAAAACAAAAAATCAACACAAACAAATGAAAAATGTAAAAAGTAAAAACAAACTAAATGTCAATAAAAGTTTGAATGTCTTTTAAATGCAATTCAAATATTCGAGTAGAGGCTTTGATATTTAAGATTACTATACTTTACCTCTGATAATGTACTCCAGAGATCATTTCTGGCTGCATTGCCATACTTATGAATGGTTAAATAATCCTACAAGAATATACAGTTGTAATTACAATTCAAGGGCTAAACAGTAACTAGTAAACACAATTATTTCTCAATTCAATTAATAATTATCATTTGTTGTAATTATATTAATAAAAAGGACATGCAAAAAGATAAAGAATCTCATTTAAATATATTCCAAAGAGATTTAGCTATAAAATTCTCTTAATTAAGTTGTCAAACAATGTTAATTTCTTAAAAATTATTTCCATCGCTATAATCACTTCTTACAGATATCCAGGGTCAAAGATCTTTCTCTAATTGAGCAAGTCAACCTCAGTCAATTCTGAAAACACTACCTCTGCTGTTGGATATTTAGAGAAACTTTCCCACCAGGCTTTTGTGTTAAAGTGTTGAAAAAGAAATATTTTATTTTATGAAGAAAAGAAATAGCTAATATATACTGATATTAAGAGGGACTGCTTTGCCAAAAGAATACTTTCTCCACAATCTGTCTCTAGTTCAGTGGTCTCTCTGCAAAGGAAAGGCTCTTACAATAATGATAAATACTTATTTCCATAGGTTTGAAACACACATTAATATTTGATAAAAAAAGTTATTCCTAAGTTTATTTAATATTTTGGGGCTTAGGACTTGCCATATTTAATGTTCAGTTATTATTGTTAAAACCTATACACTTTCCATTCAATTCACACTTCGTTCTCTTCTAAAAAGTGTGGTTTGTCTCGTCAATGTGCTAATTAGTTATGGCTGGTTTGCATTATTTTTTTCTGATTTCAGAGTAGAACAATGAATATTAAAAATACTGTTATACTGTAAAAGGCCCCCTCCTTCGTTTGAAATTCCATTATTTCTGCAAATATAGATAGTAGACAAAATCCTAAATTACATCAAAGTACTAAACAGAAAAATGCTGACTTCTTCAGTACTTTATATGGAGTGGGCTACTCTGGGGATAATTAAAGTTGGGGGAAGCAAATTTTCTGAAATACAAATTATAACACCTGTGACAGATTCAGCTTCTGTTGGCAATTCACACCACAGAAAATGGCAACACCCACTTAATCAGTTGCCTAGAGATGCAATGTCCAACACTAACTTAGCAGCCACAAATTCATCATTGCATCAGGTGTTATTTTGTTTTTTAAAAATCACAATTTTGATTTTTTAAAAAGTTTGTTTTTAAGACCATACAACTCCGAATAACCATTCTGAAACCTAATTTGGCTTTGAACATTCCATAGGAGGTTTTCAACATGAACCCAGGGACCAGGATTTAAATAGATTATTTCAGATTTAACTTTCAAAATTATTCTTTATGCTTTTTTCACCTAAATAAACAAATTTTGGAATAGATTTATAAAATATAAATGTGCATTTTATTTTATGTTTTTATTTTTTATTTGAAACAAGTGCTTACTCTGTCACCCAGGCTGGAGTGTAGTGATGTGATCATGGCTCACTGCAACCTCCCAGGCTCAAGTGCTCCTCCTTCCTCGGCCTCCTGAATAGCTGGGACTACAGGCACACATACCACCACACTCAGCTGTTTTTCTTTTTCTTAAAATTTTTTATAGTGACAAGATCCCATTATGTTGCCCAAGTTGGCCTTGAGTTCCTGGGCTTGAGCTAGTCTTCCCCTGTGGCCTCCCAAAGGGTTGGGATTACAGGCCTTAGCCAATATACCTAACTTGCATTTTATTTTAGTGATGTAATAATAAAAGGTGCTAAAATTAGAACTCTTTACTCTTAGATTCTGTTTATGGGTAGTGCTGCTAGGCTAATTCAGCAAAGGACAACAAAGGAATACTAACTATAAAGTCCAATATACAACTACAGTTTTCTACCCATAGAGAATAAAAGTCTATTCACAGTATGAGTTGACCTTGTCCCAGTATCGTCAGTTTGAATTATTTGTTCCTTCCTCAGTTTAGAATAAGACTCAAGTTTCCACTTTAAGCAGGCTGAAATGAAAATTATCCAGACATAAGAAGCAATTTCCAATTTGCCTGCCTCTGTATTCAGAGAAGATAACATATCTTCTTGAACTCTCAGTAACCCTAATATTCAGATGTTACTGAAATTTTACATGTGCCAACTTTTTTAAAAAGTTTCCTTTTTTTTCTTAAAGAGAAAGCTTGCTTAAACATACTCATAGCTCGAATTAAGAAAAATTTGCAGAATTATAAAGAAACTTAAAGGATAACGAGTGTTTTAATATTTTTTCATTAATTCCACAAAATGTACGGAGCACTAGAGTGTGTTTAGACAACTTTCTAGTACAGGGGAAACAATGGTGAAGAAAAGTTTTCTAAGAACAACTACGGATACTGAGATGTGATTTGTGTAGGAAGATTTCCATGACTGAAGCTATAGAAGTCTTGGTATAATAACCACTTGGCAAGATGAAATCACATTTGGTATCACATTGAATAAAATGATTTTGAGATCCTTTCAAACCTCTAAGTCAGTGAATATGAAAGTCCTTAGAGATATAAATCTGAAATGAAAATCTAAGTTTACATCTATGTGTATGAAAGTCAGTCTGCAGCAGATTAGATATTATGACGTAAAATAGGAGAATGTTAACTTTAAAAGAATTGTGGTTTCTCTAAACTATATATTTCCAAAATAATAGAGTTATTGTAAGAAATAAAATAAAGATAATCCCCAGAATATTCTTAAGGAACATAACAAATAATATAGACTAATTAAAAGTTAAAAGCCTGTTAAACAAGAATATATTACATCTGCCTATGGAGAGAGGCATCATAGTACAGTGGTTTAAAGTGCAGTAAACAAGAGCCTGTCTTAATTTAAACCCAAGGCCCAACATTCACTAGCTATAAGATCTTTAGAAAGTTGTTTAACTCTTTGTGCCTATCTTCACATCTATAAAATGGGGATAATAAAATAACTACTGTATATATTTTTTCTGAGAATTAAATGATTCAATATACAGTGTTAAAAGAGTGAAGAGAGCCAAGCATATACCATAAATATTCAGTGAACATTCTCTTTAGTAATGTTTTTAATAATTTCAGTAACTGAGAAGAAAATGCATCATTATCAATAATCATGAAAGAACATGGCACGTGAAAACACTAATATTTTTCTCCTTTTTAACACTGTTCAAGTTGCCTTATATTTTATCTCATTCAGTCCACACAATATTAAGAGGTAGATATTATCAACGTCATTTAATAAATCATAAAATTGGACCTCAGAGTCTTCAGGCTACATCCAAACCCCATGCCTGTGCCTACCCAAATCCAATATCTGAGAGATGCCATAAAGATAACTGAGTTGTATTAAAAACTGAAATCATTGTTCTCCCCTATATTGGCTCCTTTTGGTGGCCCTTCTCCAGTGATGACCTTTACATCCATCTCAACCAAAGAGCTGTCTTGATGCCTTGATCACCCTTTCTACCACATTCAATTAATAATCCATGACCTAAATATACTCCAAGATTCCCACTTTCCCTTACCTGTTAGTCAAACACTACAGAATCTTACATGGATAATGACAGCTGCCCTTGCTTCTGCTCTGTCCCTTTCACATCTAGTTTTTCCCACAAAGCCAGAATATTTTTTTATCAAATCCACATAAATCCCTGCTATGTTCAGAATATAGTCCAAACTCCTTAATATAATCTAAAAAATGGCACTCATAGTCTTGTCCCTCTGTATTTCTCAAATCTCTTTGTTAGCTTGTTGCTCCCTGCATTAATTTAGCCACTTTCGGCTTTCTGAAGATGCCTAATGGATATTTTATCTCATTTCTGGCTCTCTGCACATGCAATTCTCTACATTTTTTTCTCCTTTGCCTGCTTCAATTCAATTCAATTTCCAGAACTCAATTTTGATGCATTTCCTCCAGGAATTATTTCCCATCCACTTCAACCACCTTCCTAATGCTAAGTTAAATATCTCTTTTATATTTTCACACATTGTTCTATATATAATAGCATTTATCCCATTGTGTCACAGTTGCCTGTTTATTAGTTTGACTGTTCACACAGTCTGTAAACTCCATGAGATTGATACTGCCAGTGTTGTTTACCACTATTTAACCAAAATCTTTGTGCCCAGTCTAGTATACAAGTACTCTCTCTATATATAAATGTATGTGTGTGTTTGTGTTTGTGTGTGTGTGTGATTTGTCTTTCCTTTTGCAATATTCTTTTCTGTTGATAACTGACAATGCAGTAAGCATAGATTTCTTGTATCTGTCAGAATCCCCCAAAATGCCATATTTAAATACAACACAGGACATAATTTATGATTTCAGTATATATTTGTCAGGCATATAACTTGAACAGATACATATGATTGGATATAGTGTCACCAAAAATTGTGAACTATTGCATACGAGACCATTTTTGTTTTATTTCATTTGCTAATGAGTGACGTGGCTCATAACATGTCCTGTGTAAAAGCCAACAGAACTAATAAAGACAGGGAAAAGTAAAGAGTGAGTTAAGGAAGTAAAGCACTATTATCTTTTAAGATTTACATGGAAATAATTATGGAATAGTTGCTTCGCTATTAAAGAGTTCTTTAGCATGCTAGATAGAGAGTTAACCACATAAATGGTTTATTCTTGAGATATAAAGGGATGATTCCATGAAAGCCATGTGGATTGGTTTACGTGTGTTTAGCTGCAAGTAATAAATATCCACCCTAGAATGACTTTTAAAATAGCAGTATTTATTCTTTCCTATAAGTAGGTAGGACAGAGCTTCAGCCACTTTCTTCTGGAATTATTTTGGTCCTACCCCTATCTATGATTTAGCTCCATTTTCAGTTTGTGGCTAGATGGCACCAGCAATCCCAAGCATCACATTCAGACGTGACATTGTTCAGAGGAAAGAGACAGAATTTCTTCCTGAGAACCTCTTTTTAAGAATCAGGTAAATTTTCCTTCAAATTCTGCAGCAAATTTGCCACATTTATTATTTGTCAAAATTGCATCATGTGCTTTATCAAGAATCTGTTACTGCATTTTAAGGGACCATTGTT